AAATATGGTTGATCATTCAATGAATAACATATTTCTTATACAGTACGACGTCATAGGAGTTATTGTTTAGTGATGGGCGGATCCAAGAAAATGTCAGTACCGGATCCAGATCTTGAAAAAATCGGATCCGGATCCGAGGATAAACACATGGGTGTAAACACAAGTTACATTTCAACAAATATTGATTTTTTACAATTTGAAACCAAACTGGCGAGTTCAAAGATAAGCTCGAGCTTCAAGATCCGATTTTTTGTGTATCCGATCGGGCGTCAGTTATAGCTCAGATCCGGCGGATCCGGTAGTCCGATATCCGGATCCGACCATCACTATTATTGTTACTATGTTAACTGGTTTCTCTTGTTTTGGAGGAATATATGAAGAATGCTTTGGGTGGAACCTTTAAATAGTATTAAAATCGTATTGGTGGATCTTTTGTGGTAAACACTTCCACGATTTCATCGTTGTTAGGCTATGCAGATTAAATCTATGCTTTTTTTAATATCTGTTTGTTAAGAAGTTGTTCTTACTTTAAAGGGAGGCCCACCCTAAAGCTGTGTAAGTTTCATTTTTCCTTTATCACGACGGTCATCATACCGTACTTCTGTGCCAATGAATAACCCTCTAAATTTAGCAATAATATTTTTTTAACATAACATTGATTCCATGACATGCAGATGCCAGTTGTCTCAGCCTTATCAATTACATAAAGTGCTCAATATAATTGTTAGGTGTAGTGGAATATACTTGTGTATGTGTTATGTCTTTTATTCTTGAAATGAGGGACCTCGTTCATATGGTCATACGGCTTCATTGGCAACAAATAATGCAAATGACAATGACAAAGCAATGCTGCATTTCCAAAAAGCAAATACTGTAAATTGTAGATAGTGACGTTTACATACATGGCTGTTAATCAATGTATCTTAGAACGGATGAGGATATCTAGTTCAAAATGAACACTACCTTTTTGTCATGACAGTAGCTTAAATGGTAATTACTCTTTGTGAAATTTGTTTTACAGTCAAAGTGTAGTGTTATGTTCACAAATCTCACTTAAGGCCAACCAAGTGGGCCACGGTCCGTAATAGGCCACTGCAAAACATCTGTCAAGATATAGGTACTATTTTAGGCAAGTTTTCTGTGTTTAGATGTTATTAGACACGATAAGAGCACAATGAACTTCATCTGCAAATGAATAATCTGTTGGTTAAGAGAAATATAAGCCGAATCAATAAATGTCACAATCCAAGCGCATTAAAATGGCTCTGGCCTGATCTTTTTTGTAGTATCAATCGAGTTTGGTCATTTTGTTTATGTTATTATCTTGGCAAGTTACCGGTGCACTTTGAGAAATTTAATTTAGAGATAAATTAATGGTTTTTGTTGCTGAGTAGCACTAGTAAACATGTACAACCATTTTTGTTGGTTAAAAACATTAAAGGCTCTAGGCCTACCGTGTTTTCACTAAGCTGAATGAATACATCGAAGTAACATCTCTAAAAATTCTGCAATTAATAGTAATTTTAAAGATTAATCACTTTCTAAATCATGCAAATATTTCTTCATAAAAATTATTAAAAAATTAATCCAGTTGCTGCAAACTACTATTAATTTAACAAAATATGGACATGGCTCATGTTGAGCCGTGACTAATTCCACCGGCGAATGTCACGACTCATATTCAACGGTCCAAGTGTTTTTTTTGTATAGTAGGTTAGTTTAGTGTTTCGATTTGTTACTTCCCACGACCCTCAACAAGGCTGTGCCTTGTTCTTATTACTCCCACCGCCAAGTGTCATAGGTTCTGTGGCTGCCTTCCACTCCGGTTCGGCATAAATTTTATCGTATTACATCCTAATTTTGTGGCATGTTTCATATGTATATTGCCTTTAATTTCATCCTAGTGGAAATTATGTCGATCATGGAGTAAATTTAGAGCGCCCAGCGCGCCTTTTGGGGCCCAGGAGGTGGAGCACCAACATGAGGCGGAGAGTATTTCACACCCTATGGCCTCCATTTGGACTTCGGCTGGCCTCCTTTCCGCCCAGCTTCAGCATGCCTCCAGTGACCTGTGCCTAAACCAGAACTGTACCGCCAAACCGTTATACCGCAAGTTACCATGCATGTGTTAATTTATTTAATTGATTGTTACCATCATGAACTTCGAATATTAAAATCCAACGTAGGACTAGTTGTTATTTAGGCCTATTGTTAAATTTGTTGCACAGTATTTATTAATTGTTATATTTTGAAATTTAATGCAAACTAGCCTAAGCTTATTGTTATTGTTTTCATATTCTATTTCCGTTCGCCTTCTTTGAAAGATTTTTTAAGTTATTCCATTCATTTATTTTTGGGGCCCCTAAATGTTAAAACTGCATTTATTGAAAGAAAGAGATATAGATATATTTATATTTATTTATTGTTACCTTTTTATAACTTTATATTTATAATTTCTGAAGGTTAAAACTGATTAATTTCCTTTTACTGATACTAGTCTATTTTGATGATTAAAAGAAATAACTGTAAGTTAGTAGGCCAGACTGGTAACTAAATTATTTAAAGTTCATTGAGAGTTTCATGTATTATTGTTGATTATTGTTGTTGTGCATTTAAATTGTTTATTACAGCTCGTTTCTCTCAAATGGCATGTTGTTCTTGAACCTCCATCCATGGTTCTCACCTTGTTTGTTTTTTTTTTGTGGCCCGCTCCTCGGGCCTGCACATGGATTCACGCTTCCGAGTCGTTGGCCTGGGTGCAGGCACGAGGGCGCGGTTCAATATGGGCAACGTGCCCTTCTGCACTTGTAGTATTTTGCATTGTATTACACAATCGAAATCTTTTCCAATACGGTAATTGAAAACATGTATGATAAAAATCTCATGAACCTATGATGAATCTGTCCTGAATAATATGACAAATATCGACAAAAGTGTTTAAAAAGGCAGACACCAACCCGTAAAATAGATACAGTATAAGATAATTTGATAAGAAATAATTTTTATAGTTGCTGTAAAATTAATTGATTTTCCAATGATTTCGTAATTGAACGTTATATTCCAAACATGAGATGATGCAGAACAAAATACATTTTAAAATCAGAAAATTACATTGCAAATACTTCTTTTTGACAAACTCAGTAACTCCCTATAATATGTGTTGTTTAAAATACAATTTAAATATTAACAGCTGTTTCATTAAAAAGTAGTGAAAAATTATCCATATGACGATAATGTAAACAAATATGGGAAGGGAACTTTTTAAACGCTTCTGGGGCAGAGCCCTACGGTAACTTACTTTGTTTTTCTTTTGATGGCTCATCTACAGACCAAGAACTTGCTTTGTACACCTCTGCCAAGTTTCTACGCTCAACCGTTCTCTCAAATTAGTGGAGACAAAGTTTCCAATTAAATATTTTTTTTCCCCCATGTTAATCTTATGGGAGAAAACCAAACTTTGATGGAAGATTCTGCCCAAACTAATAAAGATTTCCAAAAATGAAAAACACTTTGCAAAACTACAGATCAGGGGAATTGTTTTTACACTTTAATCATCAAAATCGGTCCAAAAATGAGGGAGGAGTTCTGTTCACAAAAATCGGCTTAGCGTATTATATATATATATATGGGTCATTCTCCAGAAAAGAGCAATTTTCATATATGTAAGATAGATTTCAAGCATTTCAGTACTGCGAGAAACGAGGTTAGAGGCTAGTTCAGTTTCTGAACTATTGTCGATCGAACTCATTCCTGGTCAAAAGAGCTGTTCACTGTAGTTGATTTGATCTGATCCTTGATTTCCCATAGTCAAGTTTTATTTCTTTGTTATCACTTTTGAGTTCCAAAATTCTTTCAGATAATGCCAGATTGTTTTTGCGTAACTCAATCAGCTTGGTGACAATAATATTTAGAATAGCTGAGATATCACTCTGATCATTCTTGTAATTCACAAGTTGAACGGTTTCAACTCAGAATCGGTACATGTACCCAAAACAGACAATGACACTCGGTACACAGCCACTTAACACCCGGCAATTCGCTTATAACGGTCGTAATGAGACTTGAGAGTGTTGGCATACGAAATATGCCACATTTCTTACACTTTCCGTAACGTAAGACCGTGTCCTTGATCAACACGCTTAAAATAAATGATCCTGACTAATGCTACGAATGGTCTTAGGGTAAAAACACACATGCAGCGATTCGGAGCGGAGCGGGCGGGGCGATCCAGAGCGAGCTGTAGCGGCGCAACTGACACATATGCAGCACCTAGTGAGAGCGACACGGACGGGAGCTTGTTCATTTCCAAGATATCAGATAGTAAGTTCGCAAGCAATTTGCAGCACAGCAAAATCACGTGGCTAAAAACATTAATTTTGCGTGCCTCAAACCGATCGGAGTGGTTGCATGGAGTGAATGGAGGAAGGGAGGTACATGGTGAATATCACCATTTGTTTCCAGTTCTTAAGAAGCATTAATCGCGATTCATGCAATACATGTCTACCTTGACCTTTGAATACATTCTTTCAAAAAGAGAAGGTTCGAAGGTTCCAAAACGCTCTGGGTAAGTTACGTTTACGGTAGAATGGGCGGTCTACTGGCGAAAGTTGAACTAAAAATGTCCACAAGATCGTTGCCCGCTCCCCTCCCAAACGCTAGAAAAACAAACAAGATTGTTCAAAAGTTAACCGCTACGCTCACAACAGCGTGTGTTTCTACCCTTAGTCAGTAACAAACCTATTCAGATCATCTTACTCCATTCTCCACTCACCTTGCATTCATACTCAGCTTTCAAGTAACTGATAACAATTGAAAATTCAAAATCTTCAGATGCCCTTAAATACGGGGTTTAGTTTATTCAAGAACAGTAACTTTTAAGAGGGTTTACAAACATTCCTTCATATAGGCAAAGCAATAAAAAACCTGACTGTAGCCTATAAAAAAAAACAACTGGCTAGCCCCATTACTTAAATTTTAATACAATGCAAATGTACACTTACCTTATACTAGATGCTTTTAATTCACAGTTGTCTTTATCCAGTGGGATTATCTTGAGCAGTCCATCATATAATCTCAGTCCAATAACTCTAGCCTCTGGATCAATTACTGCAATGATTCCATTTTCTGATGCTTTCCCGATTCGATCAGCTACATTTCCATGAGCCTTTGTAATAATTTCTAAACTGTCTCCCTCTCCTTTACATTCTAAGATCATAGCATTGTACCGGGCAGTAACAATAAAAAGGAGGTCTTTCTTTTCATTCTGAAAAATTTCACACCTTCAAATAGAGCTGATTTTTAAAGATGTTCTAAACAATTTCTATTACAAATTACAAATTTTTTTAATTACAAATTTTACTAAGTACAAATTACAATTTAGTTTTGGCAAATACAGGGATTTTAAAGATCCCAAAAATGTTGTCCAATGTACATAAAATGCATTACACTAACCTACGAGTCATTCTATAGCAATTCAAATATTATTACATCTTCTAAGTTTCAACAATTTCAGAGTCAATATGAATAAAGGCGCATGAAAGACTAAAGAGAAATTAGAAAGCCCAATATCACAATTACTGTTTGTCACTGTTACTGGGGTCAATCTGGAAGAAGTTATTACTGATTTTTTTTACCTTTAGTGATGTGGGACAAATAAATACCCAGTGGGTAGGGTATTAATAAATAGATATATATTAGAGTATTTACCCTAAGGTTTTTATAAATACCCAAAAGTGTTTGTATTTATAAAAAGAATAAACATTAGCAGTGTTTTGGCATAGTTCATTGAGTTGAAGTTCATTTACTTTACAGTAGTTCATTGAGTAAACAATTATGGCGATTTCTTGGTTAGAGTGTATAATTGGCTAAATATGGGGGATTAAAAACTCAAGAAATATCTTTAAAATACTCAAAAGTTATTTCAGATTTTCAAGTGGGTATTTATGATTCTAACACGTTCGCTAACAACATGTTAAAAAAATTGCTTCACCACCGACGAGTGTCAACAATTGATGACGTAAGGATTTTTGCCAATGACCGGCAAACTCACTGGACAAGATGTCAACCACCTTTTGTTGATGCCAACATGCATACACTTTATGGTTTGTCACAAATGTACGGTTTATTTTTTATCGACTTGGTTGTTAGTTGTAGCACTAATGGAATCTATATATTAATTACGTAAGCCGATTCTTTGTGTCAAAATTGTAGGCGACTGGGAAATCGTAGAACGACGGGAGAGGGTTAAAATTAAGGTCTCGATCCTGTGACGGCGGGAAAAATAGTGAAATTCCCCAAATTTTACCACAAAATTAGATATAACGTAAAATGTTCTCCATAAGAATAGCATTAGAAGCCATTTACTGCTGATTTGTGTTTACTTCAATACAGCTGATCGTGATTTATCATTCAGACAGTAAGCAATATTACATTTGGATTACTTATTTGCCAGTCAATTCTGCAATGTACTGTATACTATATAAACCAGGGATGACGTTAGCTATAATAATTAAGACTTTTTAGTCTTAATGAATAAAGATGAAATAGGTTCGTAGAGGTATTAATTAGTTCATTAAGTAACCTACTATGCCAAGTTCCATTAGGCGAAAAAACAATATTGTTTAGAGGAGATTTTAACCAGGTACTGCCTGTTGCTCCAAGCAAAAAAATTTAAAGTAATATAGTCTAGTATGCACTGTAGTAATGGGATCATCCAAATAAAAAATAACAGTATAACCTAGAGGTAGTTTCCGTTTCCTCAAACTAACCAAAAATATGCATGTCGAAGATGCTTATGAAAAGTAATTTCATGATTGGTTTCGATAACTGGGTAATGGAACCCTAACCATCCGTAAAAAAGTTAGTAATCAGGCGTTGTTTAGGCCCTTTTTGATAGAGGGGGGTCAGTTAACTTTAGGAGGAATACCACCACATAAACATACACTAGGCTAATAGAATTTTTTTTAATGTTGATCAGAAACAAATCTAGGGTTAAGATTGGTCAATGGTATGCCGTTACACTAATCTTTGTTCAAAATTTACATTAGGAGTATAAACTTATAAATAATAACTGGGTCGGGGTGCTAATTTAGCGGTTTTGACCAATAACTAAGCTTATCTGAACAAACCTTTATTTGCCTTTTCATATTTGACGAAGACAATTACCAATATTTCAATCAGAGAAGCATTTTTATCATCATTAACCAAAAGACCAAAGCTACCTTAGTAAACCAATATTTTTATTCACAGACTATTTTTATTCACAGACATGTTTTCTGCCTTTAGCAGAGTTAAACCTCTGCAAACAAAGACAAACCAAAAACTTTTTTCACACAAAAGATAAGTTGTACAATAATTTGATTTACATTTTGAGCTTTTTAGGGACTTATGTCCCTACAAGCCCCTAGTAACCTATAAATATGTTGTTGTGGTGGTTTCTACATGGGTGATTTTCCCCCGGTACAATTGGCAGTTTTTTTTTCCTTACACACAAATTTCTACAAGTCTCGATGTGTTAGTTGACCCAGTCTTATCCAAAAGAGTTGGTGTGTGTTTCTTATAACCATTTTTTGTGTGTTTTACATCATGGATCAAGATCGACATACATCAAATTGGATTTAAAGACATCGATAAATACTACGAAATAAACAATGGACCTATGGTCAACTATAGGTAGGCCTACTAATTTTTAGCGGATTTCCCTATAGGGAAGTATTTAGCGAATTTCTCTAAAGGGAAGTATTTAGCAAATTTCCCTATAGGGAAGTTAGCTATTACCGTAGGTCTCATGGTAAGACCTAGGCCAGGGACCGATTTACTTTTTCATTTTGATATCCCCAAAGGCCAAAAACACCCTTCGTTCAAATTGTTATATAAGTATATATATATATCTATATATCTCGTATATATGTGTGTGTGTGTGTCCGTCCGGACGATAACTTGAGTAATTTTTGTCCGATTTTGATAAAATTTGGTTTGAAGGTGTAAGGCAGGATAAACTTGAATGAGTTCGCGAACCAGCATGATCGGACCATGAGAACGGGATTTAACGGGGGTTTTATGGGGTAAAAATGGGTTTTTCTCATTTTATACCCTTAAAACACAAAATTTTTCAATTTTTCTCCAGACCTTTTAAAGGAGCTTAAAAAAAACAAATAATTTAGTATATCAAAGTGTTTTTGTACGGTGATTGGTTACGGAAAAAATTCAAAAAAATTTTTAATTTAAAATTCCCACGTTATTGTTATGGAGAATATAGTTAAACGTTGTAGTTTGATAGTTTATGGATATATTTTGATCAAACTTGGCGGATTTATTTATTTCATGCTAAGCTATTGATATTTTAATAAAAAACACATTTTATTAGTTTCCCTGTAGCAGCTAACCTAGGTACTTGTTAAACATAAATGGTAATTTAATAGGTTAATTGAAAATCAATCCAGGCAAATGGAAATTCGCTTAGTCGACAGGTTTGCTGCAGCAGGGGTATTTTAAACATATGACTGAATTTGTTATTGTTATTTCATGCAAATTAGTATTATTTAGATCTTATGGGAGGTGACTCACCAGTGGGTCGCGGGAGGAGACCAAACATTGAAATTTTTTAAGGGGACTCTAATTTTTTCATTATTGAAACCGGAACGGTCTAGTAAGGACCAGAATAGTACTGAGTGAGTAGCAGGGGTCACGGCTGTACATTATAATATTCACAGCTAAAGTTCACGATAGATGTGTCTTTTAGTTTAAAACTAGGAATTTTTAACACTTGTTTGTAAAAGATTTTCTCACAATAATTTTTATGTGTGGCTTTGAATACTTTATTAGGAGTTAACAAATAATAAAGATGTTATGAACATGGTTTTGGGAACATTTTAAATAATTATAGTTATAATTATTTTTTCTTATTTATAATTTATAGTTATAGTTATAATTTTTTTTTTTTTTTTTGTAGGTTCCATGAAGAGCTCTATGCTGTTAACTAACTTAAGAAAAAATACATAAAGAGTTGGCTAAGCAAAATCATATTTATTCTTTAATACATTACCAATGGTCGAAAAAACTTCATGACAGCAACTTTCCCATGAAGTCCAATTTCCTTTAATGGGCGTAATCCTTCTGGAGTAACCAAATGGATTTCGATGCGAGTATTTTTAGCCAGTATCAAATTAAGGTCACTTGTAGAGGTGAAGTTTCCTGTAGTAAAAAATTTAATGTTTATGTAAAATATACAAAATGTTATGAAATAATAACTTATATAAGTGCTCAAACCTAAAACAAATTGTTTCAATCAAACAAAATGCCTAAACTAGAAATTGAATGTTTGTATTAAATACTTAGAAATGTAATAGGCCTAATTAATTGGAATCCATTGAAATGCTGGTGAAATATCAAATCTAAAAATTTTGCAACCTGGACTAGACTTAAGTTAAGCGGGAGTGGATCGATTTGAGAGTGAGAGAGCCAGGCAAGACGAGGGAAATTTTATATGTAGTCTTGGCAGGGCATGACCTGACTTTTTTATTTGGTTTCTGTCATAGAAAAAGGTCAGTGATACATTTTTGTTTAGCAAATTTCATTCTAGATTTAGCTGCTATGTCCCTTAATTTTTTTATCTACAAGACGTCTGTTGGAGTTGAAGTTGGATTCTGCTTGTTTAAATTGAAGGGTGGCGTCAAAAGAGTTTTTTGCATCGTTAGGTGAAATTCGGGTGGAGGATTCTTCTTTGCCGTCCGAGTCATCATTCACAGTCTCCTGGCTAACAGTGGCAACAATCTGGTTGTCATTGAGCTCTTCAAAAGTGTTAAAAATAGTCTTTGTCACATTCATTGATCCACTCTTCAATTTCATTAGCAGGGATGTTCGGCCCCATAGTTTGTAAATCGTTAACAATTTCCAGTGCATCGTCGTTTTGCTCATCTTTGGTATGCTCATTTTCAGCCATAGTTTGTGGCCAACGCTTAAATGCCACAATTTCTGCAGTGTGTCAGGTTCCAGTTTATCCTATGCTGCAGCAAAATTGTATAGATAACTTAGCATCTTTGAAATTCAGGGATTTCATTGCCTTAAATAAGTTATGACCTTCTTAAGATTCTTCTAAGATTGAGCTCATACTCACTGCAATGTCACCATTTGTCCTTTCGATTACGCCCTGATCCATTGGTTGGATGAGTGAGGTCACATTAGGAGGCAGAAAGACAGCTTTTATGTCCCCTTTCACCAAATTTTCCTTAGACGGTTGTAATGGTGTGTTAACCAACAACAGTAGTGCACGAACAGGCAGATTTATTTGCTTCAAGTATTTTTTTATTGATGGCACAAACTCGTTGAGCAGATTTCTGATTGGGGTTAATAAATTGGCAAGGAAGATAAGTTTATATTTTTGCTGAATGCCCTTGGCTTTTTTAGAATAATGAACAAGGGGAACTTGTGGATACCATATCAGGGTTGGTACTAAATTTGGAAAACAAAATTCCCTGACTTTTCCAGGTTTTCCAGGCTGATATTATACTTTTTCCAGGTATACCACAAGTCGATATCGACCAATCAAAATCTAGAAATATTTTAAAAAATGTAAATATTTAACTTATTTAATCACTTCCGAATACAAAACTTAATTCAAATTATGTACATATCGATTCCTCCCCCGTGCCAATAAATAACTATCGATATAAAAATGTGATTCAGTGCTTATGTCGTTCTTTTTGCCATTAGTCATCACTCTGGTAAAAAAATGTTTAGGTGCAGAATGTGCTGTTTTTTAAACCATATTGGTAAAAAAGTAGTCTTTCAGTAGAAATTCCAGAATTTTTTCATAATTCCCTGACTTTTCCAGACCAACCAAATTCCATGACTTTTCCAGGTTTTCCCTGACCGTACCAACCCTGCATGTGAGTTGCATCAAGGAATGACTGTTATTCCATCTTTTATAAGTTTTGTTCCTATCACGGATTTGTTTTTAAGCTGCGAGCGTTTTTTTTTTTTTCTAAGCAGGTCTCTTTGATGTTATACACTTGGCAGGGTATTAGTTTATTTGGCTGTACTTTAGTTTACACACACATTCATTCGATTGAATTTTTTTACTAATGATATTTGACGACTTGAAACATATCAACTGACAAACTATGATACATAAATATATTGCAGTACCAACAAACAATTACAAAAAAATTATATTAAAATGAAACTGTCCTAAACTAACCCAACATAACTAACCAAACTTCCTGTAACATTTTAAAAATTCCATTTGATATTCTCCACTTGCATTTTCTGTTATGAAACAGAATTTTTAATTGTTACATCAAGTTTGGTTAGCTTAGAACAGTCTCATTTCTCAATCCATATATAGGGCCTATATACAGGGTGACAATTAAGTCTTAGGACGACTTAATAACTTTAAAACGAAAAGAGATATCACAATCAAATTTGGAAAGTTATTACTGGTAATAGCAAGCTACTTGTCAGTGTACATGGTGATCAGATGTCGTATAAGGGACGGCCCACAGGGAGTAAGTAGAAAATCTTAATGGTAACCATATGTTGTTGATATGTGCATCAAATTAAAGGTCTTGTTGAACTAAAAACAATGCCGCAAACCAAACCTCAAATAGACAACCGAGTCAAAAATGGCAGCTGGTCAAAGATTTCTTAAACCTGCCATTTTGAATCTTTTAACAGATGCCATTTTTTACTCAGTTGTTCTTTTGAGCTCAAATTTGCGGCATTGTATTTTACAAATAAAGAACTTTAACTAGATATGCATATCAACCTATGCTTACGTTTAGGTCCGTCTTCTGGCGGGCGCCGCCGTAGAAGGTAGCTTCAGAGACAATAGACACCAATGGTCTATTGTCTGTGGTAGCGTATAATACCATTGCAAATTCAATGAATCTTTGAACAGCTGAAATTTTTGGCTCGATTGTCCATTTGAGGTCCGGTTTGCAGCAATGTTTTTAGTTTAACAGGACCTTTATTATGTACATATCAACCTATGCTTACCTATAAGATTTTGAGCTTACTTCCTATGGCCCCATAATAATATCGAAAACAGATACATATGGACCGATAACAACCGCTATCGAAACAAAGTAATATTTTATTACAGATATGTTGACGATATTGTAATTTTGTATGATGGCAATCCAAGACAGGTTCAGTTGTTCACCACTTTCATGAATACCATCCATCCCAAATTAAAATTCACTCTCGAATTAGAAGAAAACAATTCTCTGAATTTCCTCGATCTGACATTGAAAAAACTTTATAATTGTTTTGCCTTCAATATCTATAGGAAACCAATCGCTACAGACATAACTATTCACGCAACGTCTCATCACCCTATGTCTCACAAACTTGCCGCATATAATAGTTTTGTTCATCGCCTTTTAACCATGCCATTGAGCACTGAAGATTACGAATCTGAAAGAAACATCTTGAAGCACATCGCAACATCCAACGGATACAGTCCTGTTATGATAGATAATTTAATTAAAAAACACTGCAAAAAATCGAACAATCCTCCCTCACGAATCTTACAAAATAAACGTGAATTTGTTTCAGCAGAATTTGGCAAACAATTGCCTCTAACAATAAAAAATGAAATGAAAAAGCATGGAAAAATAGTATCCTTTAGAACCTCCAACAAATTAGATAAGCTTATAAACACTAAAGTATCAGGTGATGATGTTAACAAGAGAACCGGAGTATATAAATTATCCTGTAACGACTGCGACAGTAAATTTTACATAGGCCAAACAGGGCGGTCCTTCGAGATTCAAAGAACACATCCCAAAAGCCACCAAGGTGCAAAAATCTAATTATGCTGAACATCTGGTAGTAAACAACCACAACTATACAAATTTGGAAACAAACTTAAAACCATTGCCCATTTGCAACAAAGGCAGGATCATGACAGCTCTGGAACAGTTTGAAATTTATAAAGCCGCAAAAAACAATCCCCAGGACATATTAAATGACAAAAGCACTCTGCAAACTAATATTTTATTTGAATCACTCATAAAGTTGGACAAGGACCGTGATAAAGGCGGCCAGGGGACAAAGTTCAGCTCCTGAACCAGTCGAGACTCGGCACCCGTCATGGTGTACACCAGTGTTTGTAGGCCTACAGTTTTTGTCCCTGTTTTTTTAAATGTTTAAATGTTTTGTGTTATTTTTGTAAACTTTGACACGACCAATTCAAGAATGGTTTAAGTTCTTCAAGTTTGTGACCTGATGATGATGAAATGAAATGAATTGAAACGCGCATAGTCCAGTATAGGAACAGAGGAATCACAAGGCAGTTACAGGTATTTTAACCTTTTTTAAAGCGTTTTTATTAGGTCGCTTTCTTGTCCGCTACAAATTTTGCAACCGATTTTATACTAACTTCCCGATGAGCTAGGGACTTGAAACTTGAAACATATCTCACAAATGGAAGACAATGCAATATTATACAATTTAATTTTCATATTTCCCTTGGGCTACGCCCCATGGGCTTGTTTTTATTAAATCGATTTCTTGCAAATTTTGATACTTCCCGATGAGCTAGAGACTTGAAATTTGAAACATAGCTCACAAATGGATGACATTGCAATATTATATCATTTAATTTTCATATTTCATTTCGGGCTACGCCCCATGGGCTTGTTTTTATTAGCTCGCTTTCCTACAAATTTTGATATCAATTTTAAACGATGTTCCCGATAAGCTAGAGACTTGAAATTTGAAACATAGCTCACAAATGCATGACAATGCAATATTATATAATTTAATTTTCATATTTCCCTTGGGATACGCCCCATGGGCTTTTCAAATTTTTCATGTTTACATTTTGAAAGAATGTAAATAAATATATCAATTAATTTGAGTCAGCTGTAAATACTTAAATTTGACAGTTCAAAGAGCAGAGGAAATATAGATAAACAATCTGATTGCAGATATAAAGATGTTTGTTAATAATGTAAATTGTTATTTATTTAATGTTCTATAAAGTAAACAATAAATTAAATAGATTGATATATTTATAGTTAGTAGGTAGGCCATACATTCAATCTAATACATAATTATATGAAAAGAAACTCAAATAAACCTTAAATTTCCCACATGCCTTTGTCTTAATCTGATATAGATGCTTGAAATAGATTTAACATCCTCACGCATTAAAAAACTAAAAAATAGAAAATAATTTATAAATAAAAAACTTTTTTAAACAAAACGTTTTTAAACGCCCTAAAAAGTAGAAAATAATTTACAAATAATTTATAAATATGTTGAGAGAGTATAAATACTTGTACGATTTTAAACGAAAAACATTGGGTGCATGCAATTAATTGATAATAATACATTAGTTCAGTAGGTGAAGGTAAACTATCTATTGCAAGCACCCAACGTTTTTCGACCAAAAAGGGAATAAATGTGATATTTTTAAGAAAGCATTTTAGTGTAAATCCAATCAGGCAAATGGAAATTTACTAAGACTGCAGGTTTGCTGTGGCGGGGGTGTTTTAGTGTTTTCGCGGAAAAGACAAGAGCCCCTTTGTTAATTAAAATGCCAACCAGACCGCATTGGAGTGTGCCTTTCCAAATCCCTCCTGTTCAAGATTAGTGACAAGTTGTTGCATAGCTGCTTGCCTCTTGTTGCGTTTTAAATAGGTACTTAGTCTTCAGAAGAAACATTCGTCTTTAAGAGTTCGAGATAATGGTTTTCTTAGGCCTAATGAAGGAGTTAGGAACCGCCGAACCTTACATTTTTTGTGTTATATAGGCCTATACACATTATGAACTGTTAACAGCTACGGTATACAATCGGTAATTATTACACTTATAATGATAGGCCTATACAGGGTGTCTCATGAGAGGTGTCTCAAATCGATTACGGAAAAACGGCTTAACGTACAAGGATGAAATAAATTTATTTCCCGCTAAATCGACCCCAAGGAATAACGTAAAAATATTTTTAACTTTTTCCCAATACAGGGTGTGCCAAAAACTGAGGGTCACTAGTTCGAATCTCGTAATTTTCAAATGTAAACATATGTCATGTTATACATCATTTTAAAGGTATTTGATAGACAAACATTTTGGTGAAAACAGAAATTAGTTATCTTTTTCCGTTTCAAAATGGCGGCAGTTTTTTTGGAAAAAATCTATATTTTTTTAATATACTCTGTGTTTCCTATACCAATGCATTTATCCCTTCTCCGGTTAAATTTTCTTACTCGTTATAAAATTAGCTTTACTTTGATATGCTACAAGTAACGGTTTTTTGAAATTATAAAAATTCCAAAAAAAATTATTTTTGAAAATTTGCAAATGCTCATTTTTCAAAAATTTCAAATAGCAACACATGTCAAGGGGCACATCATTTTATAGGTTTTTTAATTCCTAACAACTTTATAATTTACACTTACTTCGTATCTCTTTTAGTTTTTGCGTAAATAACAAAAAACCTAATGTTCCTATATTAAATGCATGTTATTTGGGTTTGACGTGGTTTAACACTTCATCAAATTGGGCCTTTAGTGTTAATACTTTAAAACCTTTAAAGATCCATCCACAGAGTTGTTTACATTTTGGCCATGTGAATAATACTTTTAAATGAAACAGCTGTTTGTTTTAAAATTGTATTTCAAACAACACACATTTATTGGGCGTTACTGAATTATACCAAATAAGTATTTGCAATGTTATTTTCTGATTTTAAAATTGAATTTCTTCTTTATCATGTCATGTTTTGCAATATAACGTTCCATTACGAAATCAGTGGAAAATCCTTTTATCACAGCAATTCTTAAATTATTTCTTATTGAACTATCTTATATCTATTGTACGGGTTGGTGTCTGCCTTTTTCACCACTTTTGCCTACATTTTATCATATTAAATACACATATCAAATATTTATGTAGAAATATCTGCTCTTATTGTGTCTAATAAAATCCAAACATAGAAACCTTGCCTAAAATGGTACCCATCTTGACAAATTATTTGCACCTGCCTATATTACGGACTTTGGCGCACTGGTTTGGTAACATTATTGAAAATAACACGACATTTTGGCTGTAAAATATGGTACAATTAAGAGAAAATAGGCCTACTATTTAAGCAGCTACTGTCTTGACAGAAAGGTCATATTCCTTTTAAACTAGATCACATAATCCTTTATAAGATACTGTACGTTGATTAACAATATGTAAACGTCAATATATATACGTAACAGCCAATTTACAGTATCTTTGCTTTTTGGAAATGTCCCATTGCTATGTCATTTGCATTGTTGCCAATGAAGCTGCAAGACCATATGAACTAGGAGGCCCCTAACAGTTCAAGAATAAAAGCCACCCCATCACTTTAAGTATTCCACTACACCTAACATTCCGTAGAGAGATTATATTGACAACTTTATGTTATTGATAAGGCTGAGACAACTAACTGACATCCCCCATGTCAAGGAATCCCAGCTTTAACAGTAACTTAACCCCACAATCAATTTCCCAAAACTATGCTAGAGGGTTCACTCACTGGCACAGAAGTACGATATGAACTGACGCGACGTGACGAAGGAAAAATCAATCTTACACTGTAACGGATATACCTCCCTTTGAAGTTAGAATATGTCTTCCCAAAAATATTTTCTTTTCAAATAAAATCATATTACACTGATGAAATCACGGAAGTGTTTAACTACAAAAGATCCACCAATACGATTTTAATACTATTTAAAGGTTCTTCCAAAGGAAGAGATAGCCTACCATATAACATACTAATAATAACTCCTATGACGTACGGTATGGGGAATATTTTATTCATTGAATGATCAACAAATTTGGCAACTAACGCAATTAATATTATTATCGTTTTTACACTTATTACTCTTTAAACAATGCTAAATGCTCAAAATATGTATAGGTACTGTATTTCATCCAATTTATTGCAGTTAGATGAATTAGGTAACGTAAGCCTTGAAAGTAACCGTCGATTTCGACGGGTTCCCCCTAGTATATATTATTATAGGCCTATTGACTTCAAACGCTGAAAATTCAATCAGGAAATATTAGCAATCATTTTAATAAAAACAAATAAGGCTTAACTTACTACTTACCTATAGGCTAAATACAGATTAATTCATAACCTAACCTTAACCTTCCGGTATTTGGTATGTTTACCTTAGCATAGCCCAGTTAAAAATTTTTACCCGACAAAGAGAATAAATAATAGACAATCAGCCGGGCTGCGGTTAGCCTTATTTTTCAGTTCTAGTTTCTACCGATAGGTTTGCCCTAGGCCTAACTTAACTTATAGTTCGACACACACCGTTCAGCGTCTGCTGGTAGCATACGGCTCCTGCGCTCCTCACCGTAACTAAATCTAATTTTATTCTATTTGTAATGGTTAGGCCTAATATAAACTTACCTAGCCTAGGTTACAAAATTGTTTGGAGAACACCTCAGCGGCAGTGGTGTAGACTTAAGACATATTTGAAAAAAAAAGCTTCAACGGGCTGCACTTTACTTTAGGTCCTACACTCATTTGAATGAAAATTTCGCTTATTCAATTGTTTCATTCGATATATCGTTTGGTTAGTTAGGTTAGGTTAACCTTACCTAACTAACCAAACGATATATCGAATGAAACAATCGATTAATCGATATATTGAACGATATTTTCATTTGAATGAGTGTAGGACCTAAAGTAAAGTACAGCCCTTCAACGCTTAAAACAAAAGGCTTAGCCTAGCCTATGTTATAAATACAATCTACGGGATCCTTAATGTATTATTTACCAGTGACACAGGCCGTAACAGCCGTAGGTTTGTGAGCGGTAACAACATAGTGATGAGCCATTTCACACGATGTTCATTCAATCTAAACAAAAATAGGCCTACCTAAAACGTCAATAAAACAATAAGTTACACTGCACTACAAGAGACTTTTTCACAAGGTTTCGCCGTTAATCTTTGCCGTGGCCAAGTATCTGTCTTTCAAGTAATATAAATGTAATTGAAGCTGTTGGTTAGTACTTAGTAATTAGTATTGTCGTACTGTAGGTACTACTGTACTAACCAAAATACAATACAATGAATAGGCTACAGAATACCGGGAACCGGAACGGAATCCAATCCAAAATCCAATGCAAATGCAATGCAAGTTGCATTGCATTTGCAATGCAAGCATCAAATCAAGCAATAGCAAACCCACCCAATCAGCATTCGGCAAAATCGCGTTTTTCTTTTTTTTTGCTCGAATCTTATTTGCTCGAAAGCAGGCTTATTTTATATGCAGCGTCGTTGTGCACTAATTTATTTGGACGATTCTGTGGTTTTCATTGGTGTTAATGACTAATTTCATATATATGTATGACCATTGATTAATCTTTATATTTCTGTTGTATGGTTTATTTGTGAAGATAAATTATCACATGTTTTAATAATGAGTAAATAAATAGTGATTGAAATGTTTTACTGAAATTGACTACTATTCTTTTTTGACTTGATAATTGACGATTTAATATTGGTGCCGAAACTAAAAAAGAACCATGTCTTACAGAAAAAGTAATAGAGAAGTTGTTAAACCTCCAAAAAGGTACACCCCTGATCAGAATGAAAATCATGATACAGACAAATTATCAAAGAATGTTTCTGAGAATGGAAACAATGACACTCAAGGAGTAGCATTGAGACAAACCAGCATTACTTCTATTGTAGTCCAAGGAAAACAAAAAGTAAATCCACAACATATAGCAACAGGAGACAACTGGAAATAGAACTTGAAAAGTTGGAGGAAATACAAAAACTGGATCGAGAAAATGAAGAAAAGGAGCTGGAAAGACAAAGACTAATGGAGGAGAAGGAAATGGAGCAAAAACGGCTGGAAATGGAGCGACAACGGTTGGAGGATAAGGAAATGGAGCGACAACGGCTGAGAGACGAGAGGGAGCTAGAGCGACGTAAACAAATGCTAGAAATAAGGGCTTCTATGAAATCACTATCGGCAAATGGTAGTCAAGTCTGCGGATCTGAGGCTGAGGTAAGCCTAGGCCAAAGCTTAATATCTCGAGAGAGGGGAGAGAATCTGAGAGTAAAGTCGGAAAGTGGCTGAATGATAATGTACCGACAGTTCATCCAGTGTTCATCAACTGCTATGATCACGGCTGCACAATTACTAGCAGATTCAGTCAAAAAAGCTATTCAATCAACCTCTCTTTGCCGCCAACAACTACCAAAAACTTTAATGGTAGACCAGATGAGTGGCCTATGTTCGTTTAATAGATTTCATTGACAGATCTTGTTGTTGTATTAACATACTGCAATTCAGTATTATAATCTTTTGAAAATGAAAAATTTGTTTACCGTATATTGTAATGTAAATTTATCTCCAATGCTTTGGTATAACGTGCATTACGTACCGTACCTCATTATTTTCATTTCTTATTCTTAATTCTTTTTAGCTGTTGAGGTTACTTTTTCAGTCTCTATTTGTCTGATCACCAGCTTCCTTGTGTATGTTATTGGGGTGATGTACGTGTTCTATTACGTCATGGTATATTGAACTTCTTAACTTGTATAAAAAAAACCTCACATCAAAAATAGAAATACAGTAGAGTCTCGGTTAACCAAACCAAAATGAAGAGGGGAGAACCGTTTCGGATAACAAATTTTTCTGTTATCCCGTCATATGCTAAAAATAGCCTATGTTTTACCACGGAGAGTTGGAAAAATGAATTTAAAACAATGTCTATATAATACCGTATTTTATTTCAGCTACAGAAATGTTACAATGGGTTAGAAAATACTAACTTAAGTTTTGTTTCTTGAACTTATGTTATTATTTCCTATTAACTAATATATATTGCAATTAATTACTGCTATACAATTCACAGATGTTAAAATAGGTTTTCACATAGTCAAACGTAGTATATTTGTAATATACATTCAATGTCAACTGATTATTTACACTTGTTAAACCCTAGAACTGTCTAAGTGTCAATGCACTAAATTGAAATAAGAACATAGAGTTAACCCTTTACAAGTAGGGAAATATAGAGGTGAAGATGGCGTCCCTCCCCTGGGGGATGGTCACGTTCTCCAGAGGGTACAGGAAGTCTGGCTCCAGTCCGAGCGCTGCAACAGGAAGTAACGTGTTGACAAGTAGGAAATATAGAGGTGAAGGTAGTGTTCCTCTCCTGGAGGGTGGTCACGTTCTCCAGAGGGTACAGGAAGTCCGGCTCCAGTCCGAGCACTGCAACAGGAAGTAACGTGTTGACAAGTAGGAAATATAGAGGTGAAGGTAGCGTTCCTCTCCTGGAGGGTGGTCACGTTCTCCAGAGGGTACAGGAAGACCGGCTTAAGTCCGAACGCTGCAAAAGGAATTAACGTATTAAATAGAGAATATAAATACTGTTGTAGGTGTTAATATTTTAAAAGAGGGTTGTAAGAGTAGATTTAGAATGAGACTGTAAAACGGTAATTTCGAGTTAACCGTTGGCTAGTCAAAGACATCCAAGGTTTAAGGTGCTACAGGAAAAACATTTTAAATATTTTTTCTAGGAGATAAATAACACCTTATACCTAGTACTTGAACACAGATAAAGCTACGACGTACGACGGCCCTGAAGGGACACTCAGTTTCTTTTTGTCTTTCATTTTACTTCGACTTTTTTCTCGAAGTAGTTCGACTTTTTTCTCGAAGTAGTTCGACTTTTTTCTCGAAGTACTTCGACATTTCTATCTAGTCTAGTTTTACTTCAACTCAACTTCAATACGAATACGTTCATTCTATTCCGTTTCTGTTTCTGATTCTTTCTCTGTCTGCTGTCTCCACTGTCTCTCGTCTCTGTCGCACTCAGACCTAATAAAATCCTTGACAGAGTCAATATCAGAAAAGTGTTTCCTTCTATGAAGTCCGAGCTTCTTGGTATACCTTATTTTAAGTGTCCGCTCACTTATTAATGCAAATGTTATGCTTCAATAAAAGAATTGCAAGCACTTCAGGCTGTTGAAGGCCTAAACTAAAATATTGTTCAATCAGTTCATTAATGTCATATTCCATTATGTGTCCTAAAGCTCAAACCCCTTTCTATCTGCCAATTCTTATCAAAAATATGTCTACAGCAGAAACACACCCCTACATCAACAGTTAGTTAGGTTGTGGTTGCCGTAAAATTATAACAAACTATAATAAGCACATTCGAGAATAAAGTCGAAGTACTTCGAGATTAAAGTCGAAGTACTTCGAGAATAAAGTCGAAGTACTTCGAGAATAAAGTCGAAGTACTTCGAGAATAATGTCGAAGTACCTCAAGAATAAAGTCGAAGTACTTCGAGAATAAAGTCGAAGTACTTCGAGAATAAAGTTGAAGTACTTCGAGATAAAAGTCGAAGTGAATGAAAGACAAAAAGAAACTGGAATGTCCCTTCAGGGCCGTCGTAGTTTTGTTTATATAAAGAAGATTTATTTAAATAATTGGACACCTTCTTACAGTTGAGCTGCTATTACAGAGGTTGCTAATACAAATAATTAATATGAAATAAATAATATAATGTAGCTTAATAAAAAAATGTTATATGCCATGTTTAAAAAAATAATGAGATAAAATAAATAATGTGATGAAATGCATAGTAGTTATTTGTAGTAAATTTTATTCGCTTTCAGAATATCACATCCACTTTGGTAGATTTCCCCTCTATTTAAAAGTTATTGGCAATAAGCTAAGTGACCTCCAATTTATAGTGGTGAGAAAATACTGAATTAGATATATTTTTGTTAAGCTTTGTACAACTGAATCTAGACTTCTACCGGACCTTGCAAGCAAGATCGTTGCCTCATTTTTTTAATTATAACAGGTTACGTACCTTGACGTCCACAATTCCTTAGTCGGTATCCGTTGACTACCAGTTCAGTGACGTGTGCCGGCCGGCCAATTATGTTAAATGTCTACCGTGTTCGTGTTATGTTTGTTTCTGTGTTCGATGTATTTAAGATTTGACGACATTCAACAAATGTAATATTTTAACGTTCCGTTTTTGATAACGACTAGTAGTCAAAACTATAGTCAACGGATACCGACTAAGGAATTGTGGACGTCAAGGTACGTAACCTGTTATAATTGATTACCAATTCCGGAAGGCTTCAACATGAATCAATTTTTTATCAATTCGGGTTGTTCCTGATTTAGCAGTGTGCGTTAGGTACGTCCGATTTTAATAATCAATCATTTAAATAGAAGCTGGTATTTCACTGAAGGTTCTTAGGTGAAAAGAACCTGCTTTTGGAGAACGAAAAATAAGATAACATCATTAGAATTAAGTAAATATATCTAAAACTAAATTCCATATCCAAGATATAAGCAAATTTATATTTTCTGATTGAGCGATACAGTATCTTGAACTTAACTCATTGAAACTATCAACAACTCAAATAAAAACCATAATTCTAGAAGTATTTTAAGACCAAAAGACATATAAAATAACTTTTTTTTTATCTTATTTGCTTGAAAGCAGGCTTATATTATATGCAGCCTCGTTGTGCACTAATTTATTTGACGATTCTGTGGTTTTCATTAGAGTTTGGTGAGTTTTTGTTAGTACTGACTTGGAATTATTGAGGATATTGTTTTAGTTTGGTGGTCAATTTGATTTTGGTTTTGTTTTTGTTTTTTTTTTTGTCAGATAATAGATGGGATTTAGTAGGATTCTAAGGCCATGATAGGATAGTTGGGATAGGGGTTGGGTTGGAGTCTTCTCGCTTGAGGGCTGTCAAGCATTTCTATCCCGAAAAGGAGGCCCATGGATGAAGAACCCAAGGATTGGAATGAATTATGTGAGTGTTTGTGTTTGGTTTTGTTTTTTTTGTTTTGTTTAAATTGTTCTCTTTATGTGTATGAGGAAATCTATGATTTCTTGATATACCGTGGTGGAGTCATTAGTTCTGAGAATTTCTTGCAGATAGTTGGAGTTGTTACATATCTGTATTATCTTCTGTGTTGATTTAAAACATCTATTCCTGGCTGATTCATGTGCTGGGCATTCAATAATCAGGTGTTCTACTGATTCATTGCGGCCCATTGTGCAGTAAAGGCAGAGTGGCGTAAAATACTTTTTAATGAGGAATAGAGA